TGCCAGGATTTGGATGGATCTCGCCTTTTCAGGTTCAATCCCTTGTGCTCCGATCTCCGGCTTCTCAGCGGCTTTGGGCGATGTGTGTATTAGGGGGAGGGCCAGGCTCTGGCGAGTTGCGTCGGGTGGTCGGGGTAATGGTGCTGAACAGATCGTCTATCCTCGATTCTCTGTTGGGTTCGTGGGATCTAGTGCGTCCGTACTCGGCTAGTGGTGTTAGCAAGGTGGGGTTGTGCCGATCTCGGCTAGTGGTGTTAGTTGGGTGAGGCGGTAGTTGGTTCCCTCGGGTTTGGGACAAATTGATTTTGTTTGGGTTATGGGCTTGGTTTCTGCTTCAGCTAGGCGGTTCGACAGTTTCGATTGTGGTTCCTCGGCCTCTGGATCTCCCCTTGACTTCGATTGTTCATCCGTTGGTTCGGCCCGACTTTTCTGCTATGGAAGGGCTTGTTTTTTTTATTTCGCTTGTTCTTATTTGTTTTTGTAGTTTTGATCTTTTTTTTTTTGGGTCGTTGACCCTGTGCGCTTGAGTGTGAGTATTGTCATGTTGGGATCGTACATGTAACACCCCGCTAGCTTACTAAAATCAGAGTGCGATTTTCGCAAATCTTTTTCTAAAGTTTACGTTTATTTTGCGAAACATATCTCGGGATGCTACACAAAATATTTCTTTTCTAAAAATCCGTTAACTATAAACTCATTTATGAAAAATGGATTATCATTATAAAACAAGCGTGTGATACTGTAAAAAAACTAGACCCGAAAGTTCGGATCGTCGTCTGAAAATTTACACGCTAGTTTGAAAGTCTGAAAACGTCAGCGGAAGTAAAACGTGGAAAATATATACATATCAACAGTCTGCAAAAATATATACATATTTACATGTACTGGACCGGCGACCACCAGCTCCACTCACTCCTCCGAACCGACCCTGTCCCCTGAAAAAGAATCATAATAGTGGGATCGTGAGTACTATAAACACTGTACTCCGCAAAAACTCATACTAAAGTAAACATTTACAATAATTGCATCATCATGATCAAATGCATGCATATCTGCCTCTATCTGTAACTGCTCGTCAACAGTATAAACTGGACGTAAATTGTGTCTGCCGGCTGTAATAATACTAGCCGGAACCATGTGCACACCCTAGTGGTCAGATCTAGCCACTAGAGCTCGGAGTGGAATTACGCAAACTGGCCACCACTCTAAGCGGAACTGATATATACATACCTCGCATGATAGCTGTAATTATACGTAATGTAATACTCAGTCTGAGTCCCCACCTGTACTGATAATGTAAGTGCTGCTGCTGATCACTCTGTAAAAATTATATAAATAAACAAATACTAAGTACTATGCTCAGACTGACTGAAAATAACTGTTAAGATGCTCGACTCGACCTAAATATTTAACCGGAATATTCTCGGGACTTAACTTGACTGACAAGAAAAACCGGACTAAACTGATACGGGTGTACTGGACTGCCTGAACTGAAAATTTAACTGAAATACTGTACTGGACTCGAACCGGGTCAGTAAATACTGAACAACTCCCAAACCGGTCTAAACCGGCCGGTTCATTTTCTGGCCAGACCGC